CTTTCTCACTGGAAGGAAGAGGAGATGCTTGCATAGAAGGAACATTAGTAGGTCTGGTGTAGGAAGTAAGGAAATTTGCATATTGTAGACTAAGGGATATGAGCAGCGAGCTCACCAGCTGAAAGTATTTGTGAGAGGAGCAAGGTCTAAGATCAGCAGAGACACCCCCCCACCCCAGCATTTTGTCTTACCTGTATAGGTTTAAGTTGTTTTAGACTGTATGTACTTTTTCAGAAAGTATTGGGTATCTAAAAGATTAGATTAATATTTATTTCTAAGTCATTTGAAACAGTATTTTTATTTTAACTTAGGGACTTCATTACTAGCTGATCTTCAAGGATCCAGTGAAAACCTCTTGAAGATAACAGAAAGTGGAGAGTACATTAATCATACTGCTACCAGAGATACAGCATGCCTTTCTTTCCTCACAAGCTTTCTTTTAAAGAATTCCTACCCTGTACTTCTCACAGGTATTAAAAATATTTAACAGAAGCATTTCAGAGCTAGGAAGAGGCTTAGAGATTATTTAGTCATCACGCATAAGTGAAATAATTGTAATATATGTGTACGATTTTTCTAAGTGAAATTATAAACTTTGCTAGTTATTACTCTTAAGTTCCTCACATGAACTATGAAACAAAAGTAAGATTGAAACTCAAGTTAATGCACTTAAATCGTTTTCTTTAACGTGGAAAACTATGAGAGACATGTTTTTGAATACCAGGATTTGGAAAGAATAATTAATCAACAAAATTAAGCTCATGTTATAAATTGGCATCAACATATGAAATTTTTTTCTCGATCTTTGCCCCCTTTAGTAATTCTAACATGTGGTAGAAAAAGTGTAGGCTTTAAATTCATACAAACACTTCTTAGGTTTGAATTCTAGTCCTGCAAATATTAGCTGTGTAATCTGAGATAAGTTATTTCACCAGTGGTATCAAGAGGGTTGTTGTCACCCAAGGCAGTAACTCATCACGTCACCCCTTTACGGATCTCAAGAATCCTTAGAAATGTTTACTAGCAATTGTAATCATAAAATAATGTGTGGTAGAGTTATAAATTGCATCAACGAAATATTTGCTAGATTATGTGAATACCAACAACAAAATTGTTTTATTATATCTTTCTACATTGAATTACATTGTTGTTGTTGTTGTGTGCCATCGAGTCGGACCTGACTCATAGCGACCCCTATCAATTTATGTCCTTACCAACAGCATATGAAGCCCTGTTTCCCCACATACCCATCCATACAGGACATTATTAATCTTTTTTCATATTTTCATTACTTTTAGGAAAATTCCAGAAGAACTATTCAATTAATATATGTAGGTCCTGAGGCCTGGAGTCCTTACAGAGCCACTGACAATAACATTGGTTGGTTTAATTAAATTTAAATGTTAATATTTTCCAATCCTTTGCTCCTACCAAGGGAGTGATTCAATCCAGCTCCTACTGTTTCTTAATATTTATTGGAACCCATTGATTACCTTGACCAATTCTCTAAGTTGTTTTTCCTTTTACCAGAGGCATTAGTCTCACTTTCCAGGCTCCATACTCAAAGAATTCAGGCAAAATGAAGTTGTAACTCTCTGATAACCTGTGTTTTCCCTCATGCTTGATAAAGGGGATTCTTGTTTTTAGTATCTTGGTGAGTTCTAAAGTTATAAATCTATTCTGCTTCAACACATTTATCATCAACTTGTTCCCTCAGATTCTGCTGGCAAAAATGTTAAGGGAATTTAATTTTATGTAGTACTTCTGCAGTGCTAGCATCAAAATAAGTCAGAATCAACTTGACAGCAACAGGTATAAGCAAAATATTCAATGTGGTAAAAACAGTACTTCACTCCTAACATATCCTTTTGTAAGAGATATAAATAATTCAAATTTGAGAAAGTTTATATTAACTCCCTGATTTAGCCATTCTTAACCACAAGAAAGGAAAGCAAGAGCAAAAATATACTTTTCATGCAATGTTCTAATAAAGGAAAATGTTGTTGGTTCAATGTAATATGTTGGCATATGTTTCCTTGCACAGAAATCTAACCTGTTGTATTTTTTTTTCTCCTTAGGAGAGTCTGGTGTTGGGAAAACCATTACCATTCACCAAATGCTTAAAAAGTTAAAGGGACCAGGAGCATTTGATATAAAATATGGATCAATTTTAGGAGAAGTCCTATTATATAATGAAATTAAAAAGTCAAGGTGTATATTATTAAACTCTAAATTTTATTAGTCTGGTGAAAAAAAAATGTTTTACTTTAATATATAAATGCACCTTGTTTTTTAAAAAGCAAACCTGCTATGTGAAAATGCAAAATTAAAAAAAAAAGTTAAGAAGAAAATGTTTTTCAAAGTATTAACAATTAGATTATCCCTTTAAATGTGAAAATCTTACATCAATATTATTTTTTTAACTTACATATATTTTAAATGTAACTAAATATAAAATCACAGTTTTTATACATAACATGAAATAAAGTACAGCCATAAGTTATTTTCTGTCCTGGATAAATGCAGCTAAAATATACAAATAAAATTTATATACAATTGATTTTGCTGCATTAGAAATATATTTCTTTCTCATTAAATATAAAAGTACCCTTTACAAAGAATTTTGCCTTGATCATATTGTCTGCCTCCTCTTTGAAAAAATAAGAGAAAAAGTCAACCAAATTGAACAAAAAGTGCAAAATTTTAAAGTAAATTTTAATCCTGTTAAAATATTAACTAAATCTGTTGTTGAACAGAGTAAAGGTGAAAGTCTGAAGAAACCCATATCAAGCATCAGATTCATATATGTAACTGTCTATGTTACACATATATCTAATAAATATTTTAACCTTAACATAGTCAAAACATAATTTTTTTTTTCCTCTAGGGTTTTTCATTTTAATAAATGTTGTTGTTGTTGTTATGTGCCATTGAGTCGGACCCGACTCATAGTGACCCCTCCTTGGGTTTCCGAGGCAGTATCACTACAGAAGTAGATTGCCCAACCTTCCTTCCGAGGAGTGGCTGGTGGGTTTGAACCACCAGCCTTCTGGTTAGCAGTCAAATGAGATCTGGTTATTTGAGCCTGAAATCTAGGAATCATACTTGAATCCCACCCCTTTCTTCTCACCAGCCCATCACTAATAGCCCACCTGACTCTTCCCATTCCCTATGTTACCGTCTTCCCCTGTCCTGTATCCAGTCTTCTACTAGTCAGGTCTGTTCTATCTCCACAACATACCTGGAATCCTTCTACTTTTCTTTTTTCCAATGCCATCATCTTAGTTCAAGATACCATCATTTACATCCTTTACTAAGGATTTTGGAATAGATTCCTACTACACTTAAATTTAAAAAAAATAATAATAACAAGGTCTTAAATAAGACCTTTAAATCAGAGAAATCATTTTTGAAACATTTAATACACTAAGAATCATTTCTTATCTATATTATTAGAAAATTATAAATGATGAAGTCTGAAAAGAATAAATTTTACTGTATGGTCAATATTTAAACTGAAGTGGAAAGCAAAACAAAGGTGAATAGGGCTTTTGCTGAGTGATCAATAGGCAAAATTCATTTTATAAAGGGACAAGGGACAATCCATAGAAAATATCCAATACTCTGGCATCCAATAGCCTTATCCAGTTTCCTTTTTAGAGTAAGCTCATGTTTTGTTAAGTTTGGGCATCAGCTCTAATGGTAACACCAATTTTATCTGTAAAAGTGTGAACAGGAAAGAAATTATTTGTTTTCTTATAGGAGCTAGAATTCAAATTAATCACACATGTTACTTTCTTTTGTTGTTGTTGTTTATATGGCTACTATGGTAAATAAGCTAATTTTGAATCCTTAAAACATTTTGTTCCAATAGCCTGAAACAGAATATCAGCATCTTGTTTTCTGAAACTCATAAAACAACAGTAGGAAATTCTGGTAAGTATAGCAGTGCAAACAATTTCAGAACCTTCCCATCTCAACCATATGCATGTAATTTTATATAGTCAGAAATCCAAGAGTAAAAATAAAATTAATTTTTGGGGAATTGTAGAAAATATGTTGAACTATTCAAAGAACTTCAACACTTTAAAAACTAAGTGGTAATTTAAAAAAAAGAAAGAAAGAAAAAATTCCTGAAATGTAGTCAATACCATCTTCAACTGTTCCTTAAACTGTTATTGTTGTTGGCTGCTTGACCCCTGACTCATTGTGACCCCTATTGGAAGTAGGCTATGGTGGCTGGACATGAAGTGTGTTAGCCAGGAATGAAACCCCTGATGTTCCCCATGGAAGACAAGAATTCTACCATTAAACCACTAATGCCTCTCAAACTCTTCTACCCTACTCAAAAGGTGGAATTTTTATGACTCACCAGAAAGTTGATACTCTGGCTTATCAGTGAAATCATAGACTAAGGCTAAAAGTAGCGGACAGCAACATCTATTCTATTATTTAATGCTTTTAAAAAATAACCCCAGTACCATTGAGTTGGTTTTGACTCATAGTGACCCCATAGGACAGAGTTATTGTTGTTGTTGTTATATGCTGTTGAGTCGGACCCGACTCATAGCGACCCCTCCTTGGGTTACCAAGGCGGTATCACCACGGAAGTGGATTGCCCAACCTTCCTTCTGAAGAGTGACTGGTGGGTTTGAACCGACAGCCTCTGTTTAGCAGTCAAGTGCCTTAGGCACTGTGCTACAAGAGCTCCCATAGGGCAGAGTAGAGCTGTCCAATTAGAGTTTCCAAGGAAACTTTGGAAACATGGATTGCTTCGTCTTTCTTCCTCAGAGCAGCTGGTGGGTTCCAACAGTTGATCTTTTGGTTAGCAGCTAAGTACTTTAACCACTGCACCACCAGAGCTCCTTGATTTTAAAAATAATATAGTAGAAATGTTATGATGATGCAGAAGTTCTCAAAACAGGCTATACATTAGAAACACCTGATGAATTCAAAAATTCTGGAAGTTTTATAGTTTGGGGAGAGGCAACTCCTCAAAGAGAAAATAATGATGTGGCTCAAAGATAGTTGTGGAAAAGGAAAGGAAGCTAGCCTACAACTTTCCTGCCAGAAGTGGTTTTGGTTTTGATTTTACTTCCAAATTGCTACAGCACCATCCCAAATAACCCTTCTGGTTAATTGTCACTCAGGGAATGTGCCCTAATTGCAGTGCCTTTGTTAACTACATGCTGCTTTAGACCTTTCACATGTCACGTTGTTATAAATATAGCATACTGAAAAGTGCTAAAGATTGTTTTTAACTTTTTATTCTGGTTTGGGTGAAAATTTACGAAGCAAATTCATTTTCCTTTCAATAGTTCATATGCATTTTGTTTCCTGGTGTTAATTGAGATCCCCACAACCTAACAATCTCTTGCCACTCCTCCTTGTGGTTACCTTTTCCCTGTGTCTTTCTTTTTGTACATCTAGTGCACCTCTCCATGTCTTCCTTTTCCATAGCGATATTGTGCTTATCACCTGCTTTGGCAATATTGCCTTTCCCTTCACCCAAATCATTACCTGTCTCTTATCTTGCTAGCATTATTCCTTCCCCTACCTTCCTATCCCTGGTAATGACCAAAGTTTCATTCTGTGTGTAAATCTTTCCTTGACTTTTTATAATAGTGGACTCATAAAGTATTTGTCCTTCTTTGATTAAATAAGTGCTCAATATTTCTAAAGCATGAAAAAGGTAACTTCTCAGTTATATGTTTTATCTTGAATAATTGATAGAAGATTGTCTGAGCTTTCATACCATAGCATTTGGCTGTGGTTGCAAAAAGACACTGTTGACCACTAAAAAGTAAGGAAATATTTAGAAAATTTCAAAGTTGGTGACCTTCTCTCACTGATTTGTCCTTAGAGTAATTTACTTAACAGTGATAATAATATAGTAAAATGAATAATTTTCAAATTTGTAACACTTCAAGATAAAGCAAACATATTCTTCAAGTGTTCTGTTTGTTTTTCTTTGCATATTTGGCTTCACAGATAAGACGACTAAAAAGTCAGGAGTTAGAACTGATGAAAGTTCATTTAAAAATATTAAAAAACGGATTATAGTCTCCACAATAAATTTAAACACCAATATGACAGCTGCCAAAACCAAGGAGATGATTCTTAAGCAGTTAGTAAGAAGAAGTAAAGACACTCTTGGAGCACCAAAAAACAACAGGGTAATAAGCACATCTCAAATGTGTTGACTAACCTATCTATACTGTACAACTAATAAATTTACTTATTTTAATTAATACTAATAAATAGAAAACAGTAAGTGTAACCTATACTCCTAAACATTCCTTGAAGATGTACTTTGTAAATACTGGCGGTTTTGGTTTTCAAATCAATATAATTCCATTTCCTGCATAATGAATTATTCTGATTCAGAATTGCGAAAGCCAAAAGAAGCTCCTGGACTCTGAATAAAACCTGAAAGAAGACTGGGAGAGGTGTTAGGTGCCAGCTACTATGTTACTATATATTCTAGAGCATTTTCTTCCTATAGCATGACTTGGGAGTATAAGAATAGGAGAAACTTGTGACATCCACAGCCTCAGGGAAAGATATTAAGAACGCAGCTTTGCTATACCTCAGATGACTCCTACTTTCTTGAAAAGGAGTTGGGTGGGTGTTCCTTATTCTTATCCTCTGTCTGATGTGTTTTTCAGTGTCCATTTGTTGAACCAAACTCTCTGTCAAGATTAAAATTTTCAATAACTGACTCTGGTACCATGAAATAAGCTCAGGGTCAATAGATTTGAAAGATTTACAATAAGAAAATTACATGGGTTCCTTAGGAACTCTGGAGTTTAATCCCTACAGCTATCAATTTCAAAAGCTTTTTTTAAAAAGTCATTTATTTTTTTTATTGTTGTTCTTGAGAACAAACATGGCAAAACATACACCAATTAAAGTTTCCACATGTACAATTCAGTGATGTTGATTACATTCTTTGAGTTTTGCAACCATTCTCAACTTCCTTTTCTGAGTTGTCCTTCCCCCATTGCCATAAACTCACTGCCTGCGAAGTTTCCTATCTAATCTTTCAAGTTACTGGATATTCTTGGATTAAGGTTTAAAGATTATCTCAGAGAAGTAGTTTCAGGGATTCATCCAGCTTCTGTGGCTCCAGGAAGTCTGGAATCCATGAGAGACTGAAGCTCTGTTCTGCATTTTTCTCCTATTGATTGGGATTCTTCTATAGAATGTTTGATTTTAAAAATAAATGTTCAGTAATGGTAGCCGTAGTAGCTCTGGTAGCATAGTGCCTAAAGTACTTGAGTGCTAACTAGAGGCTGGTGGTTCAAACTCACCAGCCACTCCTCGGAAGGAAGGTTGGGCAATCTACTTCCGTAGTGATACCGTCTCGAAAATCCTAGGAGGGGTCGCTATGAGTCGGGTCCGACTCCACAGCACATAACAACAACAACAACAATGGTAGCCATGCACCATCTAGTTCTTCTGGTTTCAGAGCAGAGGAGGTGGTTGTTCATGGAGGGAATTAGCCACACGTTCCATCTTCTCCTTGTATTCCTGACTCTCCTTCTTTCTCTGTTCTCCAGGCGAATAGAGACCAATTGTACCTTGGATAGCTGTTGGCAGGTTTTTTTTTAAAAAGTTTTTATTGTGATTTTGGTGAAACTTTACAGTGCAAATAACTTTTCCTTTCAACAATTCATACACATTTTGTTTCCTGTTCATACACATTTGCATTCCCCACAATGTAACATCACTCATTCCACTTCCTCCCTGTGTTTCTCATTTCCATTCCTCTTTCTTTCTTAACCCTTCCTGCCTTCTGAATTTTGTCCTTGGGCAAATGATGCCCTTTTGATCTCAAATCGTTGATTGTTCTAAGGATTGAATATCTCCCTAGTGTTCATCTTGTAGGCCTGTGTTGTTTGGGTAAAAATTGAGCCACAGAAGTGAGGTCAGTCCCAGGTCCAAAGGATGACTAAGAGCCACAGTCTCAGGGTTTCACCAGCTTCTATCTGATCAATAAGCCTGGTCTTTTGTATGATTTGGAGTTTCATTCCACATTTACTCCCACTCTATCCAGGACCTTCTAATGTGATTGCTTTCAGAGTGATTGGTACTAGGAGCCAGGCACCTTCTAGTTCTTTTGGTCTCAGGGTTATAGAGGCTGAGGTTAGTATGGTTCATTAGTCCTTTACACTAATAATTTTCATGTGTCTTTGATTTTCTCCACTTTGCTTTGCTCTGCATGTGGAGAGACCAATAGTGGAACCTTACATGGTTGCTCAAAAGTTTTTAAGACTCTAGTCACTCTCACCAAAGTAGGATGTAGAACATTATCTTTGTGGACTATGTTGTGCCAATTGACCTTGATGTTCCCCAAGACTATGGTCCTGAGCACTAAGGCCTAGTGACTCATTCCCACAAGGTTTTTGGTTATGGCTAACCGGTTTTTATAATTTTGCCCCCTCTATGCTCTACTATATTCATGTATATATTTGCATCATATGTAAATACATATGTAGAAATACCCTCTGTCAAATTTATGTATATTTATGGGTATAATCCCAATTCTCCTTCTCACTTCCCAAACCTGTTCAGCTTGTGTGCCTATGTACCCACTCATAGGTTATTGTTATTGCTGTTATTGCAGAATTGTATATGTAATAGTATTTACCTCTGTTGCCTTTAACTCTTGTACTCCTCCAGTGTCTTCCTTCACCTTAATCATTTTTTGATGACCTCCTTCTATTGTACATTACCTTCCCCTTCATCCAAGTTAATATGTACCTATCCTCTAGTTAGTCCCTTCCTTCCCCTCCCACTTAGTAACCATCAAAGAATATTTCTTTTTGTGTGAAAACCTTTCCTTGACTTTTTATAATAATGGTCTCATATATTATTTGTACTTTTGTGATTGGCTAATTTCACTCAGCATAATGTCCTCTAGGTTCATCTACGCTATGAGATGTTTCTCAGTTTCATCATTTTTTTTAATGTTGCATTGTATTTCATTGTGTGAAAATACTACAGTTTGTTCATCCATCCATTCACCCATTGTTGGTCACTTAGCTTGTTTTTCTCTTTTTGCCATTGTAAATAATGATATGATGAGCATGGGTGTGTCACTGGAAAGTTTTTAAAACCCAAGGCACTATGCAGTGAACTAGGAGGTAGAACAGAAGCACTACACACATTATTTGGCCAGCTAACTAGAATATTCCATGAAACCATGACCCTAAACCTCCAAACCAAGGAACCAAATCCCATAAGGTATTTGGTAATACATGATCAGCCTCAGCAGCTACACTTTTGTTGTTGTTTTTATAAATATATCTATCACACAGCTTTTGCCATTTCAAAAAGAAAGAAGATATTCTCCCAGTTGGTAGCTTCTCTTTTCACATTTTTGATAATGCCTCTTTTTTTAACTTTTTATTCTGATTTGGGTGAAATTTTACTAAGCAGATTAATTTTAATTCAACAATTCATACACATTTTGTTTTGTGACACTGATTACAATCCCTGGAGTATAACAGGTCTCCTCCCTCTTCCTCCCTGTGGTTACCCTTTCCCTTTGTCCTTCTTGCCTATGTATTCTTGTCTCCCTATCTTTCACCCTGTGCAAACGATCTTATGATCTCCCATGGTTGATTATTCTAAGGAGTGCATCTCCCTGGTGTAGTTGTTCAGCTCATAGACCTGTCTTTAATTTGGCTGATAGTTAAGCCACAGAAGTGAGTTCAAGTCCAGGCCCAAAGAGTGACTTGGGGCTATAGTCTCGGGGGTTTCACTAAACTCTATCCAAGCAATAAACCTGGTCTTTTTTATATTTTTTAAATTGTTTTACCACATTTATTCTCCTACTCTATCCAATATCTCCAATTTTGATCCCTTTCCAAGTGGTTATCATTGGTAGCTGGGCATCATTTAGTTCTGGTCTCAGGATCATAGACAGATGCCTTTGGACTGTATCCATACGTCTTTGATTTTCTTCATTAGTTTTCTTTTTCTGGACAAGGAGAGACTAATGATTGCATCTTAGATAGCTGTTTTCAAGCTTTTAAGACCCCAGTCACTATTCACCAAAGTACGATGTAGAACAATATTATTTTTGTGTACTATATTGTGCCAATTGAGCATCATGTCCCCCACAGCCATGGTCTCCAGCCTGCAGACCGAGCTACACATTCCTACAAGTTGTGGCTAAGAAGTTATCCTAATTTTTCCCTCAGTTAGCTTTATACTGCATATAGACATTTTTATAGCACATACAAATACATATGTAGGAATATTGTCTGCCAAATCTATGTATGGTCATCAATATATTCCTGTTTGCCTATCCATACCTGATCTTCTTGCCTTTCTACTTATGTATCAACACATAGATTGTTGTTGTTGTTGTTGTTAAGTGCCGTCGAGTCATTTCCGACTCATAGCGACCCCATGCACAGCAGAACAAAACACTGCCCAATCCCACG